TTGAACTCAAATATAACTGAATTCAAATAAGCCGAACCAAATTATCACGAACTCAAATTAGTCTCAGATTGATGCTTACTTGAGATAAGTTCAAAATAACGCTCGCATATATTCGTGCTTTATTTTTAAGTCAAATTTGTAGGATAGTCACCAGTCATAGTGGTATTTATTCAGTCCGGTTTCAGGGTGATATCCCAAGCCAGGTTGCTGTTCAAGAAATAGTGGATCAAGTGGACGATAGTGTTGATCAGGATGCGCAGAAGACGACAAAAAAACGGAAATATTTTATTGGAAGCGAACATATTGGAGTACCACGAATTAATACTGAAATTGAAACATTTATGAAAGATGGAATGAGTATGTTTTTTTTTTTCATAACTTGTTTTCTCCTTATTGATATGTTATGTTCTCAAAATTTTGATCAACTAATATCAGTTCAGAAATGAAAATGGTCGATATCGTGGGGCTTTTCTAGGTCATCAAGCACTTTGATTCATTTCACATTCCGTACCCATTGTTGTCGTTTTAGTTATAGTTAGACATAATCTATATTCACGTATTGATTACGAAAAATGTATGTCTGAATTTCAGTTGAGGATTGGGATATGTTCGAAAAGATGGTCGATTATGCGTATGCAAATGTATTTTTTGCCGAAAGCAAGTACCAACCAGTGTTATTCTCAGAGTGTGCTGTAGGTTTGATTGTTCTCTTGGATGCGTTCCTCACCTTTCTGTTTGTTCGCTTGAAAATTGCGGTGCGATTATTCTCTTCGTATGTCGTCACTTGCTAATTCATCAATTTCTGTTTTACGTTTGTGTTAGACGGAGTTCACCATTAAGAACTGTTACAGTGGAACGCAAAACAAAAACGTGAAAAGTTGATGGAGTTGATGTTCGAAAAGTACAATGTACCGGCATTCTTCCTAGTCAAAAACGCCGTCCTTGCTTGGTTTGTTTTTGCTTTTCCTTCTTCAAATTTGTCTTGCCTTTTCCCATTGGTTTACTTGCAATGCCATTATTCATGTTGTCATTCTTGCAATTCACTTATTCATACTGTCGTATCATTTGAAGCATTAATCATCTTACTCAATTCTGTTGCACTCTTCAATTCAGCACACTCATTTATTACATTCTTGAGTCAGTTCAAAATGAATTCAACATAGCAAAGAGATCATTTGTCAAGAAGATAATAGTTATTGCTGCGCCAATCAAGCCGAATATTGCGAAGCCGTAATGTTCGAGCAGGTATCCGGCTAAAGCCGGCCCGAACGTTCGTACCAGTGAATTAACCGCTTGTGATGTACCCAATATCAGTGCCTCGAAATAATCATATCGATAGTTTGTTTTATTTCAATGGATATCGACACCGTTATGTGCATTTGAAAGCTGTGTGAAAATCATCAATCGAACACCTTTTTTAAAATTGTTTTAAAACAATCTTGTCAATTGTAAGTAATCGTTTTGGTGGTATAGTTTACCTGTT